GCATTACCAGGTGAGTGCAAAGAAGCTGGGGTTACTGCATCAGTACTGAGTCTCACTAAAACTGGAAACTATAGCCCAGGTTTCATGCTTTGCATTCAGGAATATGAAGTGGATGATGCTGAAGAATTAATTTCCAACCTGCTTTTCTTTGCTGGTGCCACGAGCCTGGCAGACTGCAGTTCTCAGGAAGGTACCCTGGTGCAAGGCAGCACAAGGGTTATGGGACAGGCCGGCTAATTTCCTACTATGGGCAGTGTCAGCCCTGGGGTTGAGGATGAGAGTCTTGGGAGGAAATGGAGCATCACTTTGACACATTTGTTACTTTTGGAAATGCAGAGAGAATCTCATTTTTTCTAGTTCTGGTTTTTTTTTTTTTTTTCCTCCTCCAGCTGCTTCTGTGCATTTCCCCCTTTCATCTATATTAGTCTGCTGTGTATGGAGACAATAGAGATGAAATAAATGGTTTGCAGTGTGGGTTTGGTTTTTTTTTTGGTTTTCTGTTTTGAAGCTGCTGCTTTTATTTGCCTTTGAATTACAGAGCAGTATATTTAGTAGCCCAGATGAGTTACTTTACTTCTTGAGCCTGTGCTATTAAAAGAGAGATTCCTGAACCATTCTGCTATTTCTGCTGCCATGGCATTGTGGGCCAGGAGTGTTGTAGCATTATGTGGAATCATAGTTCTTGGAGGTGGGTCTGTTTGTTGAGAAGGATAATCATGTGAGTTGCTCCTTTTTGATGGGAATGCCTGTATGGTAACTGACTGCTTGTGATTAGTGATTGCTCACCTAAAAACTTCTAAACCTAGTTGGTAGTTACCTTTCCCATCATTTATCACTAAGCTGGTTACCTGCTGTGTGGAACAAAGGCATTCACCATAAATCATATATGGAAGGAGCCAGGTGAGCTTGTGAAGTAATGTTCTGTCCCTCAAAAACACAGGTTTAATGTATGTCTTATCCCACCTTTCACTGTTGCCTGATTTTTCAGGCTATAAACAGTGAGAATCATTTACTACCATTCAGTGTTTATGAAAGACCTTTTTAAGAAGAAAGAAAACAACAACCTAAAAGCTGAAAGAAGATAAAGGCAGGTAGGTGACAGAGGACATGATTTCATGGTATACGGGGGTTTTGCCAGGACTGTGCCTTTTGGAATTGTGTCCCTGGATTGACTGTGATGCCCTCCAGTCTTCTGAAACTATTGCCTGTAGAGTGGGGTGACATAATAGTGCCAGGTTCAGGGAACACAGATATTCTGATCCTTCCAAGAAAGAACTGTTATAATTGAAACATCTTTTATGTTATCTGGGGAGCAGTATCTAGAGCAGTGATTATATTTGAAAACTATTCTTCATCCTGGTGTGAGAGACTTTTAATTTAGCTGGTATGTGTTATAAAATTCCTTCAACGGCAGTCCTGTCAGTTCCTCTCAATTTGTCTGCCTCCAAGGCACTAATGTGCAGCTGCATGGATGGTAATCCCATCTGTCCAGTACAAACTGTTGAAGAGAGACACACTGAAATGTGTTTGAGCAAGCTTTATCTGTGTCTGCTGCATGTTTCCACCAGGCACAGCGCTCTGGTGGGGGGGAGAAGCAGCAGGCTGCTGTGAGTAGGGTCTGCAGAAGGAGAGGTGCTGGGGTGGGCATTCAGGTTGCGCTTGCTAGCTGAGAGTGCAGGAAGGGAGGAAGGGAAGAGAGAAAAGGATCCATATCTCCTACAGTTGAACAGTTACTCTTTAGAAATAAACTATTTTAATCAACCACAACTGAGGAGTTTGATACACAGGGGTTAAATTTGTAATTTAGACTTACTGCATCCTCAGATCACTTTAGCTGTGTGCCAGATTTGACAAGATGATGTCTGAACAACTGGCCTTGGGGCTGAGGAGCGCTACAGCAGGAAGAACAAGTCCCCCAGAACAAACAGGATCAAAAGGGATTTGGTGTCCCCTGTATTTAACTAATGGTTTGGATTTAGCCAGCTCTTCATGCCTGGAACTGTCAATATCTCTTTCATGCACTTGAGGCCTTGCTTTCCATTAAGGGCTAACAGAGGGTTAAGGAGAAACCATAACTGCCAAGCCAGCACTTGCCGCCCCTCTGTCTATTTTGCCACTACTTTAGAAAAAAAAAAAAA